TCAGCAAGTACTTCAGCAGAGTAGACGCGGTGGTCTGGTGCGGCACCATATGTCTAGTTAAGAAAAAAAAGATTTTTTTTTTGCGCCAGATTGTGCAGCTTCAAGGAAGATAGGGAGAACTCTTTCAGTCTTGTCGCTGCGGGTGCTGGGTGTGTCATGATAACTGTGGCGCGAGCCTGTCCCCACCAATTGTACTCGTTCGTCAGTTCCGCAATTGGGAGTATGAGTTGGCGCTGCGCCAAACCCAGCCTCCCCTGTTCCTTTGAAGACACCGGGTTCAGCTCGTTTGGAGGCCAATTAAGTCTTCCCGGTTCCAAGGTCAATCAGAGGAAGGCAAGCGCAGAAGAATATTATGGTCACAGCGGGTTCTTGGCAGAAACCAAGAGCAGTGCACTCCGCGAAATCGTGGACATAGTTATTGTAATTGGGAAATTATAAATGAAATCTCTTTCAAGCGGACACGCTAGTTAGGTGGAATGAGGGACACGAACTTAAAGACACATTACGCGATAATCGGAGTGGTCAAGAAATGGGAAGTGAGTAACCATCGCTGTGCTTTCTTCTTTCCTCACTGACCTGCCTCTCCTCTTCATCCTATTAGAAGGTGGGATGGCGCTCAAATAAGAAAGGCATAACTATGGCGATGATTCTCCGATAATCCGCTTATCTCGGAATGCGCTTTTAATTGGCACGGCGTTTCGGCACAGGTTGCACATGTGTGATTAATCAATACATTTTGTGCGAAGGCCTACCTAGGCTACATTACAACTCGCACAATGCAGTTCACATGCAGAACAAGCCGCACCCATTTTCTGCTCGTCTGCATCCTCTCAACGTGATAGTGTCCAACAAGCTTAAATGACGCTCATGGACGTGAGATGAACGGACGTAAAGGAACGTAAAACATGAAAAAGGGTTCGTTCCGCCCTCAGCTCCAGCTTCTGAAAACCCAGGTACGCGGGTTGTGCGCACGCCAGTAATCGCGGAACGGTTAGGACTCCATGAGTCCGAGTGATCTGCCAGCGCGCGACTGATCAATATCCATCTTTTAGACTGTCCATTGACGTCCGGTTAATCATTTTTCTGAATTGAGTGCGACCGGTCATTCAGAACCGAAAGTGAATGAGCTCACGTGCAGTTGTGTATATCATGGATGAAATAAAAGCCAGGAATGGTTACGGTAAGGTTCACTTCAACACTACCACTCTGTATGGTTAGTTGGTTTGATATGATTGGTCAGATGATCCCTGCCCCTACTACTGCCATTTCAGACTGGTTCAACTATGTCATGCTCCATTAACTGGATTTCAACAAACCCTAAAGACCCGAGGTTTGGCTCTTTCTTCAGCTGGAACAAGAACAGTTCGTCCAATCCAAGGTTTCAGGTATATCGAAGGGCGTGGAAAACGAAAAAGGTCGGACGTTCAAGGTGATTCCACTGCCCCCCGAGATCGACCGAGCTACGATTCCTGGACGCAGCCAGTGGAAAGACGTCGGAAAGGTCTGCGACGATGGCGTCGTCAGTGATCCGTGCTCAACTTCTTCATGTTTTCAGAATCAACAGATCCGAAGAATGTTCATCTCTGGCGGAGTGTCGATGTTTGCCGAGACAATGCGTCCTTGTCTAGAGAAACATCACGGACGTGTGCTATCGTCGTTCTCTGAAGTGGTTAACAAAAGCATTCCCTTCTGGGATAAGGTAAGGGACTTTACTCGAATGGTGCGTCGTTGAGGCCACATCTCTTGCGGGAGTGATGGAAAAGGTTCCAGCTCGCGTCAGGTTTCAGCCCGTTTTTCATGTGGCTGCATTCCAAACACTGCTAAGTCACCGTTCATCTTGAGTGCAGGGCCATAGGGTTGGGGGGGATGGGAATGGCAAGGTTAGAGCTTTGGGACTCGATGGTTCGTGCAGTGTCTCGCCTAGTCTACTTCAGTTAGAGTAGCTACCAACCAAACACTTAGGGCAAATGCGCGCGATTGAAACAACGGACGATCAATGGAATCATGTTTTGCGGATATTGCGCATCTCGATGTTTTTCATTCCAATTCTTCGATTCAATCAATTTCTCACATCTCGGCGTCCTGAAGGAACGGTCTAAACGCAGTTAGTATGCCCAAAACGGTGCCTGACGAGCGGAATGGCGTCAGCCTTGTTTAGGCCGCGCCCATCCGGATTGTCTGGCACTCTCTAAGACGGAGTCGCGAGGGATCACGGTCTTGGTGGGAGGGTGTAGACGAGCAGGATTAGTCGCGACGACCATTGCCCCACCCCAGCCACCTTGGCCATGGGTATGTCCCAACTCTTTGCTCCAGTACATTCCCCTCCAGAGGAATGGTACTTCGAGGCATTACCATCACCTTGTTACAGAGTCGGGGGGGGCGGAGAGGGGGGGAAAGGTTGGTTTGGCGGCGTTCCGCCGCACTGCGACCACCGCGCGCGGCATATCACCCGAGTACGCGGCGAAGTCGTCGCCGCACATCCGCTCGCAAGCATGGCTTTGCCGGTCCCTGCCGCGTCGGTGGGCATAGCGGGCGACGCCGCGCTAGATGGGCGAGTTGCCCCATCTGGCCTTTTCAATTTGGGTGATATGGAAAGGGAAAGTCCGAGGTTCTGTGTGCACCAAGTCCTGTCTCCGCTCGAATCCATATAAATAGCGGTCTCCGCTCGAATCCATATAAATAGCGCCGCTCCAATCGACAAGGAGACAAATCAAAAGTGTCGCTCGCACCGTCGCTACGATAGCCGCGCGACTATGCGGCAAACTACGACTTGTCATGTCCGTCTCCCTCGCGTCAGTCTAGGCTGACCCGCGCCATCCTGGTTGTCTGGCACTTTCTAAGGCTGGGTCCGGGGAGGAATGGATCAGTGTTCTGGTGAGAAGGCGCAGACGAGCAGGATTACTCGCACCGAAGCGTGACTTTTTTTTTGAAAAAAAAAAAAACTAAACCTCGGCTACCTCTTCCCCATCCCAAGGCGTTGCCCTTATCACTGCTGCATTGTTTCTTGATAATTGTGGCACAAGATAGCCTACGTTCGTTCGCCGCATCGCGACCACCGCCCGGCGGCATATAAGGTGCCGCGGCACAAGGTGAGTTCACCCCCACAGCCGCCCTCCGCGGAGTGGTTCTACCATAGTGAGGGCTGACGTTTATACCGATGAAGCTATTGGAGAGCCTATAATGCTGGCTCAAGATTTAGATCACATCGATTGGCGCCATCTTATTGCGGCCCACTCGCCGATCTCCAGTAGCCGTATTCCAGTCGTATACGTATCTAATCTTTCGCCTCTCAGTCCTTCAGCGACATACGCATACTTTCCCCCGCCACGGATTCCACCGGGTCCATCAGCACCGCGATTTCGATTCCATAGTGTTGCAAGTTGTGAGCATGGCCTGACCAAGTGGGGGCACGGACAAGGCAGTCGTAACTTACCGCGCCGTCGCGCGCGGCAAGTTTGCGATGTCAACACTGCCTATCACGATTTTCCTGTGATATACAAATCTCTCCCCACCCCCCAAATCTCATCGGCCCTAGTTGGCTTACAATTGTCGACATAGCCAGAAGATTTGAGGAATTTCTTAGACAACATGCTGTTGCAGCTTGCTGAAATAGATCGTGAAGGATGGGCTGCAAGAGCCCGTGTAGAGAAGAAGAGCGATCACTATATTTATATCCGAAAGGTACACTTGTAACTTTAGTTGAAGTTAGTAGCTTCCTTGGCCACTTTCAGAAGGCTAAATCTGTACGAAATCCTTACAGGCGCACGGGAAAAAAGGCTGTGGTGAACGAGAAGTGCTGAGCCTCCAACTAAGCGACTGCGAAAGTGATCCGGATGAACTGCCTGGACAGATCTGTGACGTGCAGTCTGTGGAACGCCATATGGTACCTGGAAGAAGCTTGTCCCACCCGACCTGACGCTATAGCTTACTGTCATGATTTGCAGGAAATGCTGGAACGTAGTGAACCAGAAAGCAATCCACCGCCAGCACCAGGCAGTTGTCGTCCGTGACAAACATCAGAGGAAGACCATCAACACTGCCAAAGACACCACCGCCGTCGGCACCTGTACCACCCCCTGCTCCTCCTCTTCCCCGGGAAGAAAGCTTCGTACGTGTACGAATGGCCGTACCATCACAACCTGCTCACCGTGCAGGTCCGTCTTCAGCAACTTCACATCACAGCAACTCCGCTCTTTACTATATGTGGCCTTTTAGAAGTGCTATACAACTGGACACCCGCCGATCGAAGCCTACGCTTTGAAAAAGAGGCGACTTGGCGAGGAAGTATGTACCCTCACTTGTTTGATCCACAGAGGGAATGTGCCTTGTTTCGCTGGTGCGAGGCGGTCGCGTCGCGTCGCGCATTCAGACACAACTACGAGGCGCGTTTAGCCTCGGTCCTTCTGGCTCGAATGATGTACTCGCATAGCGCAGTTGTGGAGCGTCTTGACCCAGCGATCTGGGTCGTCCCAAACTCGCGGGCGACCGCGCGCGTCCAGCTTAGCAAAAGATTTGCGCGACTGACTTTAACAAGGTTGCCAAAGATGCTGTTCATACCATAAGGTCTACATTTCAGGAACTGTTTCAACCGATCAAACCCGTCGTTTTAATCGCTGCACCGGAGGTAGATATAGTAACATTCCACAAAGGCAGTCGGTAGGGGGGGGGTATGCCATGTGTAGTCTTGTCTGTCTTGTCTTATCACGTTTTCTAGATACGTTAGAATGAGCATGTACGCCGCTTTTGATGAGAGAGCGCAGACAAGCAGAGATGACTACAGTAGCTGCACGGCCACGTGGACCCCCCTCCATTTACCACTGCTCCGAGTGATCTTTAGAGTCGTATTAAATGTTCGTTCTTACAGGATTCCGCGATGCAGCTCTGATACAAGGAAGTCAGTGGTGACCTCAACCTCAACTGACTTCCACATTTTTTCCCGCATAAATTGCAAAATATGGACGAGAGAAACTCGAAAGCTCTTGCACACTTAAACAATAAATGTTTAAGAGTCGCTGTAAACATTGAAATTGCAACACAAAACAAAGCTGATGTCAAAAGGCTACAGAAGAGAGGTAGCGTAGTGGCAAGCGGTGTTGCTTGCCAAGCTCACGGTCCGGGTATCGAAGTCTCAGTCCGACCTCGTCCGGAACAGTTAGGCTTTCATCCTTTCGGGTTCGCTGTTGGGCATCAGTCATATCTGGGTGGACTGATGCTCTGACCTGGCAAAACGATAGACACCCGTGAATGGGAGACGGGCAAGAGGACCGTAAATTGCCGCTTCGTCGCGCGCGGCAATGGGCGCGACGTTTCCTTAATTTGCACTACCCTTTCGATTGGAGCATCGGATTTCATGTAGACAAGGTGCTAGACACTTATGTCTATTTTTGGTCATACATTGTCTATTCTCGACCAATACCACCTGAAACCGTCGTCATTAGCAGGCGCGACGTCGCACGCGACGCCCACTGGCGCGGCGAATTACGATTCTCTTGCCACATACCCT